TTTTAGTGAGATGACAAATGATGAGCTTAGGAGGTACGACCTCGACTTTATTGAAGAAAGAAGAGATGACTCCCAGTTGAAGCTCGGAACATATCAAAGGAAGATGATAAGATGCTTCAACTCAAAAGTCAAGAAAAGATCATTCCAAATCAACGACTTGGTCCTTAGAAGAGTTTTCCTTTCCTCAAAAGAACCTGGTTCCGGTTCCCTAGGTCTGAACTGGGAAGGCCCATATAAAATTAAAGAAGAGATCCGGCTTGGGACTTACTGGATTAAAGACATGAACGGCAAGGCCCAACCCCGTCCATGGAACATCGAGCAACTCAGAATCTATTACCAATGAATGTACCACCACGCTGGACGACCTTTCCCAGCTCCTGTAACATTTCTATGGTTCAATAAAATTATGTGATTAAATTAACGTGTTGCATTCCTACATGTTGGGAAGCGTCGTCATCTCGGAGGAGAGACCAAGGTCCCATCTCTGAGCCACCTAGCTTGAATTTCGAGGTTCATACACTTAATATTCCCAGTTCGGCAGCAACACGGTCTGTTATTAGGATCCCTTCAGGTTACAGTTATTAAGTTCAAGTACAATTCATTTGCTTAAGTCCCATTTTGGTTATAACTTATGAGGCTTGTACAATTTATTTGTTCAAATGATTGGAGTTAGGATACCCAATTAAAGTTATTTAGTTCATCAATCAATATTACGTTCAATTGCTTAGCGAGGCCAATACACTTCAGAGAAAGGAACAACATTAAACAAAAGAGATATTATATTAATTTTCAATTGAGAACACAAAGGTGGGCCTGAGGCCAGTACATCGTCAATGACTGAAAAGAAAACTATCCTAAGCCTGGGAAGGTGATGGAGGTGCTTCAGCAGTTGGGACATCAGCAGCTTGGGCGTCAGAAATTGCTTCTCCTGCCTTTGCTGCTTCAACTCCCACCGCCTCATCAACTGGGGTTTGAAGCACCTCGTCTACAAACTCCGACCTGAATTACGGCAGGTCCTGATTTGGGTACAACTCCTCAGCCCGCTCCATCACCTCGACGTAAGCAAAGTTCCTCCAATAGGTACCGAAGCTCTGGTACTCCGCAGTGTTGTGAAAATTAGCAATATAGTCCTTCACTGCCCCCTCCCTTGCATTTCGGGCTTCCTCCCTAGCATAGGTTGCATCATCAACATAACACTTAACTTGGCCCTCGAGGTACTTGTATGCATCTTGGGCCCCTGCCAGCTCCAGATTAGCCTTCTCCAAGGCTTCAACTGTCACCCTTTGGTGGTCATTGGAAACCTCCACATTCTTCGTTAAGGAGGCCACCTCGCACTGGGACTCATGCACCTCCCTCTTCAATGCTTCTATCTGAGCCAAGGTAGACTCCAGCTTGGCCGATTCTTCAAGTTTTTGGGCTCTGGCATCTTCGGTTTCGGCCCTAGTTGCCTTCAGCTCCTCTGTAAGGGAGGCAGCCTTCTTCTCAGAGGACAGGGTCTTCATCTGATAGTCTGTAAGAGCCTCCCTACACTCCAGTGTGAGCCCAAAGGTCCTAACACTTTAGCTCACAAGAGCCCTGGTTAAATCTGTAGCATCACAGGAGGAGGCGTGCAGCTACCACCGATCCGTCCAATATCTAAAAAAACTTTCTGTGGAGCTTTGGATCTCAGGTGGCAGGGCCTCCACCAAAGCTGGGGGCCAGAGGCTCCTCCCTGCCGGTAAGGAAGCTCGGAGACTTGCCTTGTACGCGAACAGACCTCTCTTTGGCAGCCTCTTCCTCAGCTACCTCGGCTTGCCTCCTCGCAGCCTCGTCTCTCGCCTCCTCAACCTCAACACGCCTGACCATTTCAATCTTGATTGCTTTCGAGGAGGCTTCTAGTAGCTTTAGAGGTCTAGCTTCTTTACCTTGGGACACAGAACTCCTAAGTTTTCTAGAAGAGCTGGAGAGGTGCACGAGTTTCCTCTTCTTCGGCTCCTCAGTGATCTTTTCCTTCCTCCGAGGCTCTTTGGCCTTCTTTTACGTTTGGGGAACCCCCTCTTCAGAAGCCCGCGAAGTACTGTCCCTGGAGAGTCGTTCAACCCTACCTCGGACCTCCTTTGCACCACTGGACTCGGGCTTCAGGGGCTGTGCCTTCACAGTAGAGGTTGCCTTCAGAATGGACGCCATGTCAGGAGCTGGGTACTCCTTCCTCTTAAACTTATCCACACAACGCACTGTGTCAGTACCAAAGCAAAAACACAAAAATATACAAGTGTGGGAGCTTCATACCCTTGGATGCCATCAGTTCGAAGTCCAGAAAATAGCGACTTCTGTCGATGAGGTGGTCGAAGTGGTGAAGCTTTAGAGGTCTCTTGTAAATGTCCTCCATTACTTCAAACTCCTCCCTGCTGAACTTGAACCTCGTACTGCAATCTGCAAGCGACGCATCAACACTTAGACAAAAAATTAGAGCTAAAAAAGGAATGCAAACTACTAGGGTGGGAGACTCACAATCTTTGTAGTACTGGATTGGTATTGTACAAGACAGGACTTTGTCTCCCTCCACCGCCTGCCACCTGCCCCTAACCCAGAACCACAACTCCTTCCACCCCTTTATGGAAGAAGACAGTCCTACCACAAAAGGCGCATGGGCCCCCCAAGGAGTCAAGTAATACCACCCCTTCGACTCCTTACCTATTATCCTAGGCTGAAAGAGGGTCATAAAGACGTGGAGAGGCATGTCCTCCCCAAGCGACACTTCTTTCCACAGGAAGTACGAGCCGACCAACTGGCTCCACCCATTCGGCAAAACCTGGGTCGACGACAACATGAAGTTCCTCAGCACAGTCCTGAAAAAGGGGTGCAGAGGAAGACGCATGCCTGCCTTAAATAAATATTCACTCACTGCAACGCACCCCTGCCTCGGATAACAGGCTCGCTCATGAGCCTCGGAGACTAGCATCTCCACATAATGAGGTACACAGTACCTCTCCATTATCTCCCCCAACCTCTTCGACGTCATATTCGAAGAAACTCTAGACGCCCCCCACTCTACATTGTAATCTACCTCCTCCTCGGTCATAGCAATCTGCTCGACCTCGGAGTCCTCCCTAGAACTAGACCCCCGACCAAACGACGCGACTGCGACCAACTCTCTACCCGAAGTCGACTCTATCTCAGAAGCAGCTAAGAACACAATAAGAGGATTTTCTATAAAAAATACCTACTGAAAAAACTACGCGAACTGAGTTTGCCAGAAAAGCAGTAAACAGGATTGCCTCAACGTCGGAATGTCTAAGGGGAGAAATCAGATTGCAAGGAGTTTTCTTGCCTTTTATAAAGGGCCAGGATGAACCACCACCATCAGATTGGAGCTCATTCAATCTGAACCCTTCATTTTAAATCAAATCCGAGGCGTAGAATTCAAACGATTTTTCAAACCTACGCCTCCGATTTAAGCGTGTCTCCTACGTACCTCAGCCAACGCGCCTGCTTCTAGAAGCTCCAACTGTTCTAATAATTACGATTTTAATTCGACGGCAGCAGGCGCCTTGGAAGTTGCAACGATGTAGCCACCTCTCCTCGAAAACATGCGCAAAACATCAAATCATTGGCACAACTAACAAAGAACAATTATTATCAATGAACCTCAGCTTCATCTTCAACATTCAGCCGTCAAGCCTCGCAGGTTCGGTTTCCCAACCACCTCGGCTTCATCTTCAACATTCAGCCATCAAACCTCGCAGGTTATGTTTCCCAACCACCTCGACTTCATCTTCAACATTTAGCATCAAGCCTCGCAAATTCAGTTCATACCACCACCTCGGCTACTACATCATTCACCCGCAACAACACATTTCAAACTCCAACCATGATATAAATATTTATATTTGGACTTGGGGGACTATTATTTATGGTTCAAAAATTCTTTCAATTTTTACCCAATCCACTGGCTTTACTTCATTGAAGTCCGCGCATTACATAAATGACTATACTTGGACTTGGGGGACTATTGTTACGTGTTGTCATACTTGGCCAACCTACGTGGGCCTATGGCCCACTGAATCTGAATCACGTGGCGCTCCAGCTGAGGTGGTTTGTTTATCCGAGGCCCTTCAAGCCGAGGCCCATATGCCGAGGCCTTTGAAGATAACTGAAGCCCTAAAGCGAAAGTACTACGTGAGTGGTAGAAGCCCTGAATCCGAAGCTGAAGTAGAGGCCCTCGAACTATGAAGGTTCATCTTCTATGATCACTTCTCCCAAAAGATCTTCTACGTAAAGATCTTGTTAGAATGATTGATGAAATGTTTGTCATAAGTATACATGTCATGTCTTATCACTAGCATGGAGATTCTGCACAAGCAATAAATGCGCAACAAGCTAGCAAGTCAAGGATGATGCCTATGATTGGATGTTTGAGTTAAGGAGATGAGGTCACGTGCCACCTCATCTAAGGGCATGTAAATACTTCCTCTATATAACATCGAAAGGCTAATGCAAGAATCAACTTTACTCTCTCTTTAGTATTGTCTTACAACACAATACAAACATATACATATTTACATTCACATTCCTGAACACCGATTGGTAATTATTGTACAATCGGATTACGAACATCCCACCGGATTCCGAACGTACTCGTCCCGCGTCGTTGAGCTACTCCCACGCCCCTAAAGAGGTTCATTCCAGACAGTCCACGTGTCTTAGCGTGTAGGACATTCGCTCACGTGTGCGCGGGTGGGTCCGACATCTGTTGGCAACACTTTTTGGGATCAACAACCATAATTATGGTTCTCTATCATTTGTGACTTCATTTTAGGATCTCGCTTTCATATAAAATGACGATCTCAAATGCTTGGCCCATTTCTAAGTTCTTTATACGTGCGAGTAGATGGGCAATGCTGAGTCGGGTTATCACTAAAGCTTGGGTGTGCATAACTTTGTGCCTGGCGATTTTACATCTATATATTTATAAAGAAATGATCTCCTAAATTTCGGTGCTTAGTTTATGTTAAGAATTGATGATATAACACACCATTTCATTGGCACGAATAGACCAAAGATAAAGAGAGAAGAAGCTACTAATAATAATTATTTCTGTGGCCCTAGCAAGTATGATTAGAAACATAGAGGTGCCTAAAAAAAAAAAATTCTCCCTAATAGAACAAAAGCCCCAGTGAGAATGCATAGTGGAAGATGGACATTGCAATTGCCATCGGTCCTTCAATTCGAGGTTGATGCCAGAATCCATTTGAAGAATCCGAGGTTGCTGGTGATGATGTCCCTCTGCCTGCTGCATTGGAAGAATTGGTGAAGATGGCAACTCCTGGGGAATTCGGAGGTAGACCTAGGAGTTCTGTAATTGTGCACCACATAGAAAGGAAAAATAAAATAATAATATTAGAAATAACAAAGAAAAATGACATTAAAGTTTATTTAATACTTACACACCTACTACTAAATAAGGTAAAAGCAAAAGCAAAAGCAAAAGCACCAAAAAAAAAAAAAAAAAAAAAAAAAAAAAACCAACCAACCATGCTTGTGCGGAATGTGTAGGATGCAATACCAGAAACGGGATTCAAACTCTCATTTTACTGATAATTGTTTTAAGACTTGATTACTTTAAAATTTATGCTTGGCTAAAGATGTTTGGTTGAGTTTAAAAGAAAAATTTTAGCGGCTGTTCTCAAACATGCGTCTGTACGAGAAAATTTGGTAAAAATCACACTTTTAAGCACAACCAAACATATGAAGATAGAGAAATGAGTAGAAACATAGATTAGATTAAGCTTTACTTGGGCATTCACTGACGCTAGAGTTGGCTAATTTACAAGCAGAAGGCAACTGAAGCAAACGAGCTTCTTGGACTCCCAAGTTCTTTATCTCAGGATTGCTACCATTATGAATCTGCTGTATAATATAACATAAACATGCCGGGTGGCTATCCCTTATACTCGCCGCCATATCGCAGCAGTCTTTGGTCGGCTCCGCCGCCTTGGCGGTGGCGAAGGGGAGGCAGGGGCTCAGCTTCTGAAACTCTTTGCTGCATTGCTCGTATAGTGAAGTTGAAGCCACCAAACCACAAACGTTCAGGATGAATAAGAAGAAGCAGATACAGAAAAATGATTCCTTCATGATTTTGAGAATCCCTTTTGTTAGATAGATTGGGGGATGTGAGATTTAATGGTGAAAATTGAAGGGTGGGCGGTGCTGCGGGGCCGGAGTTTTTAATGAGGGAGGAAGACGGTGGGGCGGTGATGGTTGGGGTGGATTTTCGTTATTTAAGAGTATACAACGTGGCGTCATGGCTGTCAAGTGGAAGTTCGCTGGTTTTGGCTTGCGTCAGCTTGAGATGTTTGAATTGTTTGTGTCAAGGCTGTTGGATTGAGAAATGCTTAAATAATTTACTTATAAGTAAATAATTAAATTACTAAATAATTTATATTTTGCTTTCTAGAAAGCATTGAAGAATCTAAAATATCCCCTTTATTAAGAACTATTTTTGATTTTACAAATTATCTTAGTTGATTTGAGAATACTGCTGAACCTCGAAACCAAATTCGTGAATTTGGTCGGCTGTTGGCGAAAACGTAAATCAACACGAGGATAACGGAAGCATAGAAGGCTAGTCCAAAGCTTGCGAACCTTTCCCCCAATCCAAATTGGTTACAAGGGATGAATAAAATATATGTGGGCTCTTAATATAATCAGTTATGAGATAGTCAATAAGAAAACATCATTTGCCATTTTCTCAAAATGATCAAATTACTTCCAAGTTTGAAGGGAAATGTATAAATACCCCCCTCATTTGAAGAGAAATGCATGCAATTTAAATATTTCCCTCCCAAATAGTCATTTTATTTCTAGCTCTTGTATGCGCGTCAAAACTAGTGAAAGTTCAGACTAGGTGAGACGATTTGTTAATCTGATTTCTATCGTCAACAAACTAATTATCAAATGCAATTTTTTTTTCCATTTTTACAGTTTTTACCTCAGAAAAATAATTTTATTACTTAACACGCTTAATCAAATCAATGCTTAAACTACTACAAGTTAATTTTAAAATAAATGATATCTTTTGTGGGTTAAATTTAGAATAAAATCACTTATATAAAGCTTATGTTTGGTGAAGATTAAAATTAGATTTTTAGTAGATTTTGATAAAAGTTTGATAAAATGTGTGATTAAAAAGTTGGAGATCCTATAAAATATATAGTTAAAATTAATTTTTGATTTTGACTTTGACTTAAATTAAAATCTTTATTTTAATTTTTTGCCAAACATGGGCTAAAAGTTATTTTACATTTAGTGCCTATTTGAGCTACATTATTTCAAAAAATATATTCTTAAATAGTGATTTGACATCATTTCAACCACACATTCTTCAATAAAATAATATTACATGCAAATCAAAAACTTTTCTTTATTTTTTAACCACACATTTTCCGTCAATACACTATTTAGGAATGCATTATTACCAAAATAATGTGGTTCAAACACCCCCTTACTATAAAATATAACTAACTTTTTTTATGCGTATAAGTAACAAAAAGTTACGAACATATTTCGTGATGAAATAGCTATTTGTAATCAAATCGGAACTTCAGTGATGGGTTTGTGACAAAAGAAAAGTTGAGTGATTAAAATATAGCTTCGCTGAAAGTTGGGTGACCTTAATATCATAAAGTATTAACATTCCAAAAATATTTGATTTGCAAACAAATATTTGCCTTTTTCTCCAATGTGAATTTGTTCCTGACAGTATCAAATGTCTTCTTCCCAATTATAGCCCTTGCATGGGATAGCCTACTTCTCAAAATTAAATACCAAAATTGCCCTTCTCTCATGAAGAATGAATTTAATGTTAAGGGGCAAAAAGATCATTCTGCTTTAAATAGTTCATAATGGTGGCTGGCTTTGTTTGACATATGCATTGTATAACGGTCACCTTTTTGCTAGAATTGGAAACAAAAAGGTCTCCCAGACAAGGGCATATTATTGCAAATACCAACTACGAGACAATAAAGTTAGTTCTCTTGAACGGTGTGGTGCATTAATACTTATGGTGTTTATCTTCATGGTATCAAATATCTTCTTCAATCTTCATAGTATAATATTTTCACGTTATTTACCGTTAGTCATATTATTATAGGACGATCGTCTCTCTCAAAAATGTGATAGTTCAATGACTTGATTGTATGAAAATTTTAGGAAAACACACGCAATAACATAGACATGAAATAACAGAAAAATGGCACAATAGATTTCTAGTTTATTTTAAAGAAGTTAGGCTTCAGCCTTGTACTACAAATTGCTCAATGGTCTTTAGTGCTTGTTTGGCATAAAAAAAATACCATAGATGCGCAAAAATATCTTTCTTTTTTCAGTCCCACCCACTTTTCTGGATAACAAATGAAGAAAATCATACTGAATATTATGGGTCCGATCGTTTTGACTCAACTGTCAACAGGTCTCAATGTTTTAGTTGGTGCAGTTATGGTGAAGTCAATAGTGGAATAGAACCCGATTATGGATCTGGGATAGATGCCCGAGTTGCAACGAAATGGGTCGGTCACGTACATGTGTACTCGTTGGTTGGATGTTGGGGGGATTTTTCTAAATGGCCTATCACTATTCATTCTTGCCAAAATGTCTATAATACTCTTAATGAAATGGTTTGCCATATTTTGCACAAAATATCCTAATTTATTGGAATAGTTCCAAAATTCTTCTATTTCTCTCATTTCGAATTTTAATATGCTCTAATAGTTCTTTTATTTGAATTTTAAATTCTTGCATATCATGTAAGGTATACATTATTGGTCTAACTCTTATTATAACATTTTCTGTTAATTGTATTTTAGCTTTAGGATGATATGGTTTCCAAAATAATAATTGGTTTTCTCCATAAATTTTTTCTAATTGTTCTATGATTTTTTTTCCATACTTATCTCTATTTCTGTTTTTAGGATCTTTTTATATGATAGTTTTTTATTTTTTAGTTCATCTTGTACTATTAGTCGTTTTTCCCATTTATCACAACGCTGGGCTGACTGAACTATGTAGGGTCTAAATTCTCTTGGTATTTTTAATAGATGTACACAAAGTGTTTGTAACATTATCATGTAATTATTTTGTTTATAGTATTGAAATTGTTAGATAAAGTCATTTCCTAATAATATCTCACATTCTCGGTTATTATAATTGTATACTTTATTTATTATAACTTGTTTACTACCAAATATTATATTAACTTTTTCAGCACTATCAATTATTTGAGTACTTTTTCCAGTTACTCCTGTTATTTTTATTTTACTATTTTTATTCCATGATTTTATTAAGAAATTTTTAAAAATTGTTATATAACTTCCTGTATCAATTAAGATACAAGTTGTTATGTTTGTTTCTACTACAGTAACTTGTATATATACTGCCAATGGAAAACTTATTTGATTATTCATCCACTTCCTATTTTACATAATGTAGTTTGACCTTTATGAGTTATATATAATCCTTCGCTTTTTATACTATAATCTTCTAATCCATTTAAAAAACTCATTCCTAATAATATATGAGGTTCAATATCCATACTTTCATCCAAATAACATGGTACTAAAAGATCAATCCCACCTATTTTTATTGGTACCTTTACATTTAATTCTGTAATACATAGTTGTCCATCAAAATTCCTGTATTCATATGGTTCTATCTTGTAAGTCATTAATCCTTCATTTTTATTTGCAGCCATATGACATTCACCAGCTCCTGTATCTATCAATATATTTGGTCATTTTATATACCTTTTACCGTTAAAATATTTTTCTTCTATTTTCATATTTTCAATATTTTTATGAGGTTTTATTTATTTTATACCGCTAGTTTCTCCCAAGTATTCTTTTTTATTAGGTAGTCTAAGACTTTTTGATTTCTTTATCAACCTTCCATTGTGAAATGTTATTTTATAATCTTCTTCTTCTCTTAACTCTATTATTTCAGGCTTATTTTTAGTTATATTAAATTCATATTCTTCTGGAATAAGATTTATTTGTTTGTTTGGTTCCACTATTCTACTAATATCCTTACATTCCTTATGAATTTCTATGTATGGTTTATTGGAATAAATATTCCCATAATTAGAATTAGTAAATGTATATAATGCCCTATATTCCATAATCATAATTTGATCTCCTGGTTCCATTATATCATTTCTATGTAATTTGAAATGTAATCCTAAGACTTCATTAAAGTTTTTATCTTTCAATGAGACACAATATTTTGGGTAACAAGTAAATATTAACTTTTGATATACTAAATTTCCTTCTATAGTTCCTAAATGACCATCTTCAAGATTTATAATTCTTCCATCATGTAAACTTACAGTTAATGGTGAATCTATTCCTTCCCTAAATAAAGATTTAAACATTATTTGTATTCCTGCTAAATAAACATATTGGATCTTTTCACTATGTCTTTTACTTATTTTTGATAATAATTCTGATACTGTACTTTTTGTTAAACAGTTTATTTTATGTGTTCCTTGAGTTATCTCGACATCTATAGTTTTTTCAATCTTATGGTATTCATTTATTGCTGTTACGCTCTGAGTATATACGCCTCGGATACCGAAGTGTCATCTCACCCCCGAGACCGAAATCAAGTGGACCCCCCGCAGCACCATTTATTCCGACCTGAAAACGACCCTTCCGAAGCTTCTCCGAAGTGATATAGCGATTCCTACTACTGATCTACCGAAACATCTCACCTCCGAGGTCGAGATCAAGTGGACCCCGGTTAGAAGATCCATCGTCAATTTGAGATTTGTCCTACACCTAAGGCTTAAATTGATTTGACGTCTCCATGAGGCTAGTTGATGTGACTTATGAACTTTACGTCAATTCAACTCAGAGGAAACAAACTGTCCGCCCACTCTACAAACGCGACTGATTGACGCCTATGAGCAGACGCTTCATACCATCAGATGTATACACGCGTTCCACATCCAAGGTTCATACCACTTATAAATATCTGAGGTTTGGCAAGAGGCAAAGGTAATGAAACTCTTAATACACAGCACTCCATAATAAGTTTATATATTCTCCTCCCCCTTTATTGATCGATTTGTATAGCCCCTGGGTACTGTTTCGATCACCCAAACCTGACTTGACCGTCGGAGTGTATACGGCCGCCGCCACCCCCGTTGGTTCCAGCCGTGTGCGCCTGACTATTTGTTGATTGTG